TTAACCTGCCTACACCTTGTGCGGGCGTGTACGTCATCACACACACACACACACACACACACACACACACAAGAAGGCACATATACGCACACATACGCAACTATAATACGCACACTAATGTAACGAATACGCAGCAGTAAATACATGGATACGCACACAGGGAACTATTACGCACACGCAGTCATGGAATTACTCAACCTTTATACACACACACACACACACACACACACACACACACACACACACACACACACACCTCAAAAAATCTACGAATCAATAAAACAAACTAAGTCTTTCGTTTAATATCAATATTTTTGCTTAATATCTGTCCCATGCTTTTATTTTTTTAGTCTTTTTTTGGTAGATTTTAATTTAAACGTAGTAGTATGGAAAAAATATAGTAGTAGTAGTAACAGTAGTAAAAATATTAATAATGTACTCAAGGGAAAATTGTACTCAAGGGAAAATTGTACTCAAGGGAAAATTGTACTCAAGGGAAAATTGTACTCAAGGGAAAATTGTACTCAAGGGAAAAATGTACTCAAGGGAAAATTGTACTCAAGGGAAAAATGTACTCAAGGGAAAAATGTACTCAAGGGAAAATTGTACTCAAGGGAAAATTGTACTCAAGGGAAACAATTTACTCCAGGAAAAAATGTACTCAAGAGATGTGTACTCAAAGGGTAAAAAAAAAAATGCTTGGAGATAAAATGAACGGCAATCACTCTTATAAAAAAATTACCCTCGTATCAATTCAATAACCGGAAGCAAAATAAATAAATTAATCCGCTCTTGGGAAATTAAATCCTGTATGAGTAATAAAATGCAAATCCCTGGAGCTATGGTAATGTTTAGGAGCAATAAAATAACTTGCAATTACCGTGAGATAGTTTATAGTTCATTTGTCACTTCTACTGTGGATCTAAAAAATGGCCTAGTTACAAAAAAATGGCCCCGTGAGTAATATAAATAGCCTCACGAGTAATAAAATGGCCCCAGGAGTAATAAAAATGCCCCCACGAGTAATAAAATGGCCTCAGGAGTAATAAAAATGCCCCCACGAATAATAAAATGGCCCCAGGAGTAATAAAAACGGCCCCACGAGTAATAAAATGGCCCAGGTAATAAAAATGCCCCACGAGTAATAAAATGGGGAGTAATAAAATGGCCTCAGGAGTAAAAAATGGCCCAATAAAAATGGTAAGAGCAATAAAATGACCCCGAGCTAATGTGAGTTATTCGAATCGCATGTGAGCCGCTGATTGGAGCTACGAAACTCATGTGTGTGTGTGTGTGTGTGTGTGTGTGTGTGTGTGTGTGTGTGTGTCCTGGATTGGGTGAATCTTCATTGGATCTAAGATAACTTCATATGCCAGGGGGAGGAGGGAGGGAAGGAGGAGGAGGGAGGAGGAGGAGGGAGGAGGGAGGGAGGAGGAGGGGAGGGAGGGAGGAGGGAGGGAGGGAGGGAGGAGGGAGGGAGGAGGTGGAAGGAAGGAAAAGATCTAAGTGGAGAGAGAGAGAGAGAGAGAGCATCAATTTACCCATCAGAGACACAACCACCACAATGACTGCTCGTCGTCCCACTGTCCCCGTCCCTCGTCCCACTCTCACCCAGTCCCACTCACACACACGTCACCTCCGTCTCCACACACCATCTCTCACTCACACACCGTCCCACTCACACACACACAGTCCGTCCCACTCACACACCGTCTCCCACTCACTCAGGTCCCACTCACACACCCCTCAGTCCCACTCCACACAGGTCCCACTCTCTCCCAGTCCCACTTCTCCCACACACACGTTCACTCCCACAGACAAATATACACACGTGGGATATTTCTCTGACACACACACACACACACACACACACACACACACACACACACACACGACTTAACACCGTCACCTAACACGCAGTAACACAACACTAACACCACAGAGGCTTGTAAATTAAATCTTAACACCTTGGTCACACACTTCACAGCACTATTAATACGGCCTTGGCATTGTTAACACGGCCAAAACACTATTAACACGGCTTCAACACTCTTAACACCGTCACGACACTCTTAACACGGGCGTAACACACTATTAACACGGCTTCAACACTCTTAACACCGTCACAACACTCTTAACACGGGCGTAACACACTATTAACACGGCTTCAACACTCTTAACACGGTCACAACATTCTTAACACGGGCGTAACACACTATTAACACGGCTTCAACACTCTTAACACCGTCACAACACTCTTAACACGGGCGTAACACACTATTAACACGGCTTCAACACTCTTAACACGGTCACAACATTCTTAACACGGGCGTAACACACTATTAACACGGCTTCAACACTCTTAACACCGTCACAACACTCTTAACACGGGCATAACACACTCTTAACACGGCTTCAACACTTTAACACGGCTTCAACACTCTTAACACGGGCTTCAACACTCTTAACACGGCTTCAACACTCTTAACACGGCTTCAACACTCTTAACACGGCTTCAACACACTTAACACGGGCTTAACACACTTAACACGGGGGTAACACTAACACGGCCGAGGAACGAAGAAGGAATACGTCATGTCACTAGCGAAGAACAAGTTGTACTGAGTTAACGTGCGTGTGTGTGTGTGTGTGTGTGTGTGAGGGAGGGACTTGCTACATTACGGTCTGAACAGCTGTGTGTCCGGGGTAGAAGAGAGGAGAAGGGAGGGGGAGAGGGTGAGAGGGAAGTGAGGGGTCAGGATGAGAGGGAGAGAGGAGAAAGAGAGAGAGAGAGAGAGGGAGGTTACAATTATGCCACGATCAGGTTTGGCTAGCTAGTTTTACTCTCTCTCTCTCTCTCTCTCTCTCTCTCTCTCTCTCTCTCTCTCTCTCTCTCTCTCTCTCTGTTTCTCAGTATTAGACCTCTCTCTCTCTCTCTCTCTCTCTCTCTCTCTCTCTCTCTCTCTCTCTCTCTCTCTCTCTCTCTCTCTCTCTCTCTCTCTCTCTTTCATAACCCCTAAGAGGTAATGTTTGTCCAGTACATAACCCGAGTTTAAATATGTGCTTAATATCGGGTCACAATATCGGTTAGTCGGGTGGTTGAAATCCGATAACATAATCTGATATAATTATATGTAATGTTATTCATCAATGTCAACTACAGATATGGTGTTGCGTGTGTTGTGTTGCGTGAGTTGTGTTGCGTGTGTGTGTGTGTGCGAACCAGTTACAACGGTGTATGTGTAATCCATCCATGCATACACACGACGCCCTTTCCGCCCGCCCGCCCGCCCGCCCACCCACCCCCACACCCACCCACCCCCCACCCTCTCCTAAAATATTGATCTTTAGGCTAAAAAACAAAAACCCACCACAAACACAAGTCCAGTACAGGTTTACAGGCCCAGTCCAGTAACAAGAACAGGTTAACAGGTCTAGTACAGGTTTACAGGTCGAGGAACAGGTCCAGGTAGGTCCAGCACCACACTGACCCCCCCCCCTTCAATAATAATTCACCTCTCACAATAATATACAATCGGGCGGCCATCTTTGTTTACATGACGTCACTTCCGGGTAAGAGAGGATTTTAGCCACACACACACACACACACACACACACACACACACACACACACACACGTTTTAAGGCTGTTTTTAATACATGAACGAATAAAATTATACAGTGGGATGTATAAAGTCTCTCTCTCTCCTAACACACAGATAGAGAGAGAGAGAGAAAGGAGGCGAGTGACGTCAGTTTGAACCGAGTCATTCTCTGCCTTACTGTGATTGACCGGAGTGTGGAGGGTTACATGAGGACTGTCTGTCTGTCTGTCTGTCTGTCTGTCTGTCTACCTGTCTGTCTGTCTACCTGTCTGTCTATCTGTCTGTCTAACTGTCTGTCTGTCTGTCTGTCTGTCTGTCTGTCTGTCTACCTGTCTGTCTGTCTACCTGTCTGTCTGTCTACCTGTCTGTCTGTCTGCTGTCTCTGTCTGTCTGTCTGTCTGTCTCTGTCTGTCTGTCTACCTGTCTGTCTGTCTATCTGGTTCGTTTCTCTATCGTCTGTCTGTCTGTCTGTCTGTCTGTCTGTCTGTCTGTCTGTCTACCTGTCTGTCTGTCTGTCTCTGTCTGTCTGTCTGTCTCTGTCTACCTGTCTGTCTGTCTAACTGTCTGTTTCTCTCCTCTCATGCAAACATACGCACATATATATACACACACACACACACACACACACACCCATAGTCACGCATCAAGGCTGGGGTTAGGGAGGAAGGGTCGACGGGGAGGGGGCAGGGGCGGGGTGGGGAGGGGCGGGGTAAATCAGGTCATTGGTATTCAGTGTATGGGTCATCAACCACATTAGTTGAAAGGTCACAGTATATATGTATTTTGTCTCTACACATTCATATGAACACTCTATAATGCCATCTAAATATTACATTAATCTCTCTCTCTCTCTCTCTCTCTCTGTCTCTCTGTCTCTCTCTCTGTCTCTCTCTCTCTCCGTTGTCATTAACCATTATCTTTCACCCCCATATGGTAATTAACCTCTACGTCTTCTATGTAAATATAAAAAACTAAACTCTCTCATAAATCACTAAAACAAATGATATACCTTAATGGAAAGTCTGAAAAATATAAATCAATACGGGTCGTTTCATGACAGACAGACACACGTTCCAGTCTATATGTTCGGGAATGGGGTAAAACTGATTGGTAGACACACACGGTAACAGCGGGGATTAAAGGCGGATTTCAGCGGGGATTAAAGGCGGATTTCAGCGGGGATTAAAGGCGGATTTCTTCAGATTTCCAAAAACGTTAACACGAGATCACTGATGACGTCATAAGAACCCAACCTGCGACGTGCTTATGGTAGTAATTAGTATATAGGGCAGGTGTACTGTACTTACCTGATCTGGGACACTGCCACACCCTGATGAGAGAGAGAGAGAGAGAGAGAGAGAGAGAGAGAGAGAGAGGTACAAGGGCAGCACCTACCTGTAGTTTGTGCTGGGCAGACGTGACTGTGTGGTCATACACGATCTCCTCCTCGTCCTCCTGGGTGGCGCCTCTGGTGGGTAGGGCGTCCTGGGGGCGGCCGTGGATGAGGGCGTCCAGGGCAGCCAATGACTGGGCCCGAGGGCTCAGAGGGGGCGTGATTACCCTCTCTGGCTCCTCCCCCTTGACCTCACCCTCCACCTCTTTGATGGGTTCCGTAGTGGCCTGGAGGTCGACCTCCAACTGAGCGGGTATGGAGTCCACCGGCGGGAAGTCAGACTCCGCCTTTGAGGGTCTGGACTCCGCCCACCTGAGGTCAGACTCCACCCCCCGGCCCTCACACTCTGCCACCAAGTCGGGGAAAAGCTGACGTCTGACTGTCGTCTCTTCTTCCTTCTCTTCCTCCTCCTCTTCCTTGATAACCTCCCTCTCGGTCTCCTTCTCCTTAACGTCGAGATCCTCCTTGATCTTGCCCTCGGGGGAGGAGTCGGTCAGCTTGTGGAGGAGGTCGACCTTGTGGAGGTGGTCGTCCTGCTGGGACAGGTCCTCGGTGCTCGACACGTACACCGTCTCGGCTTTGAGGGCGCTCACCACCCCGCCCACCACCACGTCCCCGGCCGGCACCTCCACCACCTCCTCAACCATGGTAGGCGTGGTTTGAGGGGCAGGGGGCGTGGTTTGAGGCGCAGGAGGCGTGGTTTGAGGCGCAGGAGGCGTGGTTTGAGGCGCAGGAGGCGTGGTTTGAGGCGCAGGGGGCGTGGTTTGTGGCGCAGGAACAGGCATAGGGTGGGGCGCAGGGGCAGGGGCGGGTGCAGGGACAGGAGTGGGGCGGGGCGCTGGCTCCGTGGCCTCGCTCCGTGCCGTCCTGTCAACAGAGACAGGGAGATCCTCCTTCCCGGACACTTCATGTTTTCTCTCTCTGCCTCTCGTCTCTCGAGCCTTCCTCACCAGTCTCACTCTCTCCTCACCTCTGTCTCTCTGTCTCACTTCACCCCGACTCTCCTCACTACTTTCTCTATGTCTCACTGCCCGACTTTCCTCACTGCTCTCCCTGTGTCTCACCTCTCCCCGACTTTCCTCACTACTCTCCCTGTGTCTCACCTCTCCCCGACTTTCCTCACTGCTCTCCCTATGTCTCACACCGCGGGTTTCTTCACTGCTTTCTCTCTGTCTCACCTCACCGCGACTCTCATCGCTACTCTCTCTGTGTCTCGCTTCACCAAACTTGCCTCTCACTCCCTTCTGAGACAAGTCTCCTCTCTCTCTCCTTCTCCTGCTCTCCACCACCTCTTCTCTCCTCTTCTCAATCACTCTATCCGTTACTTCGTCTCTCCTCCGTTCAATTATCTCGTCTCTTCTCCTCCTCTCTATCACTTCCTCCCTCCTCAACCTCCTCTCCTCTATCTCTCTCCTGAAGTCCCGTTTCTCTACCGTCTCACTGTGTCCTGAGATCGACTCCTTAAGTTTGTGGTTCACTTCCTCCGACGTTTCCTTGGACTTCTTGGGTCTGTCCTCTGCTCGACTCACCGAGCTGTAAAGATCACTCAAGTCCGTCTTAGTCAATGTTTCGACCTTTTTCTCCAGGTCCTTCTCTTTGGCCGAGTCCTTAATCACTACACTCTCACTCACTATCAAGTCTGCCTGCTCCTTCTTCTCCAGAGCGACTATGTCCTCCTTTTCTACAGTCTCCCCTCCAACGCTCTCATGGGCGCTGCCGTTTTCTCTAACACTCTGGCGGACGTTTCTGGCGCGCTCCGTCTCCGCAACGTTGATTTCTTCCTTCAACGTTTTCACGCCCGCCGATTGGCTCTCATACGCCGCGCTCGACGTCTCTGATTGGGCGTCGCGAGGAGTGGTAGACGTCTCGGTTTGGTTGTAGTGTTGTGGAGGGGACCAGCCGGACTGAAGGGTGGCGGCATCCTCGAAGCGAGTGGCATCGAGGGCCGACCTGGGTTGACCTTTGACAGGGGGGGCGGTGACCTCGTCCTCGCTGCTGCTGTGCCGTTGACCCGTCCGACCTGAAGGAGAGAAAGTTACACACGTTATACTGGTGGCCATCCGCCTACACGCGTGCACATGGCCTACATATGTGCATGTCTAAACCACCTACACTGCATCCATGTTTACACCCAACCTACACTACAAGAATGCACAACACCTTAAACGTCTACATGGCCTACAAATTTACACACGAGTTAAATACACACGATGTACCCTTACACACATAAAATACACTTACACAACATACACATTTACACACAGCCTAAAAAGTTGTATAGCTGTAACAGTCTGCCCAAAAAAGTATCGTGACACCCTACCTTTACCTACCCCAACAGAGACTCACATTTTTGGTCAACACTGTAGAGGAAAGAACAGTTGGTAGCCCTGACACCAGTACAAACACCTACATGAAATATAACTACTATAATTATTACACACATGTTATAGAAGAGAATAAAAATAACATTAATTAATTATAGAAAGATATTATAGACAAATAATGATGATTACTTTAATTAGATTTTGTTTACACTTATAAATACTTATAAGAACATAAACAATATATATATCTATCATCTGACAGCCCCTCCCCTTCTACTGCCCCCCTTCAACAGCCCCTTCAACAGCCCCTTCAACAGCCCCTTCTACAGCCCCTTCTACTGCCCCTTCTACACTGCCCTTCAACAGCCCCTTCTCTACAGCCCTTCCAACAGCCCCTTCTACAGCCCCTTCTACTGCCCCTTTACAGCCCCTTCAACAGCCCCTCCAACAGCCTTCAACAACAGCCCCCACAGCCCTCTACAGCCCCTTCGCCTGGTTCTGAGATACTGTAGATACCCCTGTTGATGTGGCTCAGATACAAGGTACAACAGGCCCCCCCCACCCCGGCGTCGCAACATAATACTTCATACTTAAGATATATAATACTGCACCATTATACTGTACTGTGCCATTGTTTACGTTACTCTACACTGTTGCCAAACCTGTGTGTTGTGGGGTGTACACTGTTGCCAAACCTGTGTGTTGTGGGGTGTACACTGTTGCCAAACCTGTGTGTTGTGAGGTGTACACTGTTGCCAAACCTGTGTGTTGTGGGGTGTACACTGGGGGAGTTTGACCTTTATGCTACGATATGACAAGAGTGGGAAGTGGTGTGTCGTGAGGAAGACAAGCAAGGCGGACTCAGGAACAAGGAACAGATCTATACAATGGAACAAGGAACAACAATGAACAGCTAAACAAACAAGAACAAGGAACAACACACAGAGCTACCAACAAAAACATCAACATTAAACGCACAGGGCTACCAACACCACACACACACACACACACATGACTTCTCAACGCCAACGTGATGTGCTCATGTATGTATGGGCTATCATGTGTACATAGGACGCAGGACCAATTTATGTACACACAAGTTACTTACAGACCTTCACATGTAGACACAATTGGCATCATTTTTTTTCCTTCACTTAAAACTACTTTACACTAGTGACACACTTTCCCCTCACTTAAGGCCACATTACCCTCTCCCAAGGCCACATTCCCTCACTTACAGTTGAACAGTTCGGCAAAGTGTCGTAGACTGAGGCACATCGCTGCGGATGAGTGGCCAGGTGGCCATACATGCCTGGCCACATCTGGCCCACTTTACGGGGCCGTGGTACCTCCTCCACTGGCTGTGGCCACCCTTCAGGGCCACGTTGGGATACTTATGGCCACACTTTTGGGCCACAGTATAAAAACAGCTGGATGTAGCCCCTGTCAGGGCCACAGTGGACGTATTCGTAGCCACACTTCAGGGCCACGCTAGATACACTACTGGCCACACTAGGTATATGTTTCTAGACACAGTGGGTACACTCCTGGCCACACTGGGTACACTCTTGGCCACACTGGGTACACTCCTGGCCACACTTCAAGGCCACAGTTACTACACCTGTGGCCTGTGAACCAGACGATCTTTTTCAAACTTTAAGAAAACTTTCCAAATAAGTTCCCAAAACCCGTATAACTCTTGAACGAAACTTTCTGAAAATAAAACTTGTACTTTCAGGTTCAGTTCCTCACAACACAAACTCAAACTTACTTAAAACAAAATTACTTAAATACATCACTTATGGATAATACTTAACGATTTCAAATACTTATACAGTTTTAAGTAATGTGTTTTAAGTAATGCTAATACTTTTCAATATAATTCTTAAGTCATTTATATTATGTAGATAAGTAATTTGTAAGTAATAATATAATACTTTTCAATATAATTCTTAAGTAATACACAACACTACGAAATAAGTGATTATATTTAAGAAAACATCCAAGTAATTCAGTACTTATATTGTTACTTTAAATACAATATACTACTTTTTAGTAGTTAAGTGTGAAGTGTTAAGTGTCTAACGAAGTGTCACTAATTACCAGACAATAATCAAGTCATATAACTTATTAATAACCAATAACCGACTTATTATATAATATTATAATTCAGAAATAATTAAAAAAAAACTATAAATTATGCAAATCACAAATAATTTCCAACTAATTCCCTCGATCTAAAAATTCCTTAATAATTACCATAAATAATCCCTCATTAATGTTCAGATAATCCCCCGACCTGACAACTCTACCTCCTGTGACGTCACGCCCCCCTCCTGTGACGTCACGCCTCCCTCCCACTGTGACGTCACGCCTCCCTCCCACTGTGACGTCACGCCCCCTTCCCACTGTGACGTCACGCGGGGTCGAGCTATGACTGAATAAGGGAAATTAAGTCCGGGTGATTATATGAGAGAGGGGCGTGTAGGGGGGGGGTATGGGGGGTATGGGGGGTGTGGTAGTGGGTGTGGTGGTAGGGTGTGGTAGTGGGTGTGGGTGAAAATGGACAGTGCCAAAATATTGACACTTGAATTGGCACTCTGGTACGTGCCATATGTCTGCCAATAAGTGCCATAGATATTTTTTTAGGGGGGGGGGGAAGGAATAGTTGTACCATATTATCGAAACAACCATTAACCTATATGGTAATTTGAACTATGGCACCCACATGACAACTTAATTATGGCAACTACTACCATCAATGTGGCAACTATCATATTTATTACCAAGTGTTAAATATATATGGCAATCCATCGTCACACATGTATGGCAACTATTAACATCCACATGGCAGCTATTAACATCCACATGGCAGCTATTAACATTCACATGGCAACTATTAACATCCACATGGCAGCTATTAACATCCACATGGCCGCTATTAACATCCACCTGGCAGCTATTAACACCCACATGGACACTATTAACATCCACATGGCAGCTATTAACATCCACATGGCAGCTGACCAGCATCCACATGGCAACTATTAACATCCACATGGCAACTATTAACATCCACATGGCAGCTATTAACACCCACATGGCAACTATTAACATCCACATGGCAGCTATTACCATCCACCTAGCAGCTATTAACATCCACCTGGCAGCTATTAACACCCACATGGTAACTATTAACATCCACCTGGCAACTATTAATATCCACATGTCAGCTATTAACACCCACATGGTAACTATTAACATCCACCTGGCAACTATTAACATCCACATGGCAGCTATTACCATCAACCTAGCAGCTATTATCATCCACCTAGCAACTATTAATATCCACATGGCAGCTATTAACATCCACATGGCAACTATTAACATCCACCTGGCAACTATTAATATCCACATGGCAGCTATTAACATCCACATGGCAACTATTAACATCCACATGGCAACTATTAACATCCACATGGCAGCTATTATCATCCACATGGCAGCTATTAACACCCACATGGTAACTATTGGCATCAACCTAGCAGCTATTATCATCCACCTAGCAACTATTAACATCCACATGGCAGCTATTAACACCCACATGGTAACTATTGGCACCCACATATGGCAGGTGCTGTAAGAGGTGCCGGTTGAGTGCCACGAGTCTTGTCCCTATTAGGTGAGGTGATGGGGAGGAAGAAAGGGGGGGGAGAGGGGGAGGAAGAGGGAGAGGAGGAAAAGGAAAAACAAAGAATGGAGGAGAAGGCAGAAGAGAGTTGGCCGCAGAGCTCAATATGTTGCCAATAATATACTTTTATACCATGCTCTCCCTCACCTGTCATGGGCGTGGTGGGCGTGGGTGGGCGTGGGTGGGGGTGTGATTGGGTGTGTGGTGGGGTGTGGAAGGAGTGAGGTTGGGTGTGGTGGGGGAGAGAGGGAAATAAGGAGAAGTAAATGGAAAGTGGGAGGCCAGAGAGGGGGTGAAAGGGGACAATGAAAGAGAGGAAATGAGAGGTGGCTTTGTTCTGAGTGATGAGAGAGAGAGAGAGACCCCAATTTCCTACATCAATAAATTATATTCCACACACACACACACACACACACACACACACACACACACACACACACACACACACACACACTATAAAACAAAATCGAAACAAAAAATGAGACACTTTTGTTTGCGCCCCCAAGATACTTTCACCTCTCAGGTATAGTTCAAGATCGACCCAAACAGGTAACACGCGAACTGGTGACCACTGTTCCTGGTATTTGTTCAACACGGGTATAATAATAATAAATAATAACTAAAATAGCAATATGATCAAAAAACACACACACACACACACACACACTACTACTACTACTACTTTACTGTCACTACGGAATCGATTATGACGATCATCCAGCTATGATACAATGATAGGAGTTATTAAGGATGTCACCTTCGTTGGTGAGCTCTGAGGTGACTAAAGAGGCCGATACGGGACCGGCAGGGTCGTCCACAGATGTTGCACATGTGGAGGGCTACATCTAGTGCGGGAGGGGCGGCGGCTGCGTCTTTCCGGAGTTGGCGCTTGTCTGCCTCGGTATGCAGTCGGGCTAACTCGAAAGTATTGACACCTTCTTGTATGGTGCTCCTCCAAGCGTTACGGTGTGGAGTAATTGTCTCCCAGGTGAGGGAGTCAATTTG